TTTTGTATAAAATCTGAATTAGAACTCAAGAAAAACTGATAAATTCAGCCATAAAAAATAGAGCAATTTGTTTTGAAAAAAACATTTAGCAGATGAAAACTGGGATCCTATCTCACTACCACTGAAGCTATCACCTTATCGTTTTTAAACAACTATTAAAACGGAATTTGTAAAGAAAAAAAAAAAAGAAATAGATCCAAAGGACCTATCAGAAACCATGTCTGTTCCAGTGCATATCAGCATTAGAATTTCTCTGAGTATTATGTCTGCAGTATAGGGGCCTGGACATGATCTACAGGGGCCCTGGCCCCCGTTGGCCCCTGTCCAGAACCGCACATATATTAAACTTAAGAACTGCGCAAATAATGTTCAGAGCATCAAATGTCTCTCTTCCAGAAAATGTCTTAAAACTCTTTCAGGAGCGGGAGGCACTTCACACTTATAATCTTAGAGGCGAAAATCGATTATACCAACCAAAAGCAAGAACTACCTTGAAATCAATGTGCATCTCAAGTCGTGGTGTCGCCCTCTGGAATAGTTTACCGGAGGAACAAAAGTGTTGTGAAAACATTTCAAAAAAATAATTAAGCGGGATGTCCTGAGAAAATACCTGGAAGAGAGTGAGTGATGTTCTATGAGGGTGGTGTGATGTAGGGAGGGGGTTGCAGGGATGGGGAGCGTTGGGCCAGTGTGTTCTCTTGTATGCATGAGTGTGGATGGGTTGTTTGTCTTGTCATTTGCAGGAGTGTTCCTGGGATGAGCGGGAGGGGATTGGACATGTATAAGCTTCTGCTTCTTCCATCCCCTTTTCAAGCCATGCATATGTATTGTTTGTCATTATATGTATTGTAAAATGTGTGCAGGTTTGAAATAAACTTTTTGAAATGAAACATATTCAGTGACACACAGCTCTTTCAAGCTGGACACCATTTCATTCAGAACACCTGTCCCATCAACCAGGAATCAGAATCAGAAATACTTTAATAATCCCAGCGAGAAAACACTTTCATTACATTACTCTATATGTAATAGAGTGACTATAGGACCAGTTTGATATAAAATAGTTTCATACAATAAATATATATATATATATAATTAATAATTAAGGGGCCCCCGCTCCATCT